CTCTTCCTCTTCTTGAACATTTTTTAATTCTTCTTCTTCTTCATCATCCCTTTCTTCATTGGTAGTTTCTGTTTCTTTAATCTCTTCCAATATCTCATGATTCACTTTTACTTTATTTCTTATTCGTTCTTCTTCTTTTTCTTCATTTTCTTGAGCTTGTTGTTTACTTTTAAAGATGACATCTCTCGCAGTTATTATTTTCTTGTTATTTTCGTCCCAAAGGCGATAGCCGCATGTTGTATATCCAACAAATGTATACTTTTTGCTTCTTTCATCTAATTTCTTTAGATATTTTAATTCTTTTACAAAGGCATCGCAACCAAAAACCTGTAAATTCAAAAGATTGGGCCTTTTTCCTAATCAATTTTCTGCCGGTGTCCTATTGCTCGTTTTTGTTGATTTCTTCGATTTAGTAGGTGTACACTGTACAGCAGTGCGAACTGCTTCACCCCACATATTTTTGTCTAATTGAGAGTCTATTAGTAAAGCTCTTGTTTTGTCTAGAATACTTCGGTTTTACCTTTCCGCTTTTCCATTTAATTGTGGAGAATATGCAATTGTATAATCTAGGATAGTACCATTATTCTTACACCAATTCTGAAGATCATTATTCGCATATTCTTTGCCATTGTCGCATCTTAATCTATGCACCTTTTTATTCCATTTCGTTACACACTGTTTTATATACATTTTTACTATTTCAGTTACTTCATACTTGCTTGCTATGAGAAACACCGCTGCAAAGTGCGTGAAGTCATCAAGAAATGTTACGAAATATTTCATTCCGTCCCATGTGTTAGGCTCTATTGGACCACATACATACAGGGTGTTCGGCTACTGGTGGGCATAATTTTAGAGGGTAGTAGCTGGGGTGATTCTGAACAACTTTTTCCTTTACCAAAATGCTGGTTAAAGCTTAGTTTTTGAATTATTAATGAAAAACACTGACCAATCAGAGCGCGAGAATAGCGCGCGCTCAGATGCGAGAGCGACGGATGCAAGCGTGACGGTTGACCCAGGTCGTGAACAAACAAATCGCGCGATATCGGTAACATAGTTACCAGAGTGCCCGAATGGAAACCGGACAGTAGGCTGCTGCTCACATGTGGCCGCTGCCATCTTCTACTTGGCCCATGCTCGGTACCTCCCGCAGATCCTGCGCCCGGCTGCGCAGTTAACGGAGCTCTTAGTACCATCCGGAGAAGAAACGGAAGCAGAAGGGAGTGACAGCGAGGCTTAAGTGCTTCCAGAACGGCTTTCTCATGCTTATATGGAGGTAGGTGTGCGAAATTTGTAAAATCGGGTGCGACCATCTACGGTTTTTTCGAAATTAAAGTATCGGGCCCCCAATGGATTTTCGATTGGGATATCGCATTTTGTTCGCCTCGAAGGGGGGCACACATTGAGCGTGTAGCTGGAGTGGTCCGTCGAATGCATTTGTGTGCAATCAATGAATTTCAGTTCCTCCACTCGGTAGCATCTTCATCGCTGCTTTCTTAATACTTGATACACGCATCAGAAAGTACGTTTCTCCAGCTTTCCAAAGAACACTCGATTAGCTCTGTAGCCCTAAACGCGGGTGGGATATGAGCATTTCAAGTCGCCGTATGTCCGATGTACTTCGACCGCTCGGGAGACATTTCCTCCTCTTCTGGAGCGACGACGGTGATTTGGAACTCCAAACATGGGTACGTGTGGTCTACTCGAAGCAGGCTACACGATCCATATGGTTTTTTTGAATCTTGTTTCCTGGGGCCGTTAAGCGCTCAGACCCTTTGTCGAACATTTCTTTAGATGTCTTACAGTATAGAAGATGCATTTGAGGTTTCTTTTCCGTCGAAGCAATTATTAATCTTTGAGCCTTTGCCTCCTTGAGTTCCCATTCTGTTTTCTTTTTACCTGTTTCAGTTATCTCAAGAATATTTTCGCCGTTTACTATGTCATAAACACTCATGGATTTAAATATAATTATTATTTGAAATTTCCAGAACTGAAAGTTGGACTCATCTTTTAATTTTTCAATTTGAATTATTTTATCATTGCTATAACCGTTGCCTGTAGCCATTTTCTTTGTTTCACGACCACGCTTTCTGAATCTATTTTTATCTTTGCGATCACTCAATTTTTTTAATTTTTACTTTTTAAATTTGAATTTTCTTTACTGGGACTGGGCCCATAACCTGTTATTAATTAATTAGTTTTTACTTTTAGAGGTTTTTACTTGATATTCAATAACGCACGTTATTACCTTTATGCTTTTATTACAAGGACTGTTAGAACAACAATGAGAACAATAGAAACATAATATATATACAGTTTTACATGTTTACATGGAGGTGTCGCTTACATATATAGAGTGATAAGGTAGATTCCTTCTATGAATATAACTAGCTATGTATGTATTACATTTACTCTCCCAACACATTGAAACCAGACAACCAACCCACTGTCTCTATCACTATGAAGAAAAACACCAAACGCAGTCAGTCGTTCACTAGACTTATTGACCAATTAGATGACATAATAGGACCAATTAAACCCTTTTTGGAAGACCCTGTAAACAAGTTTAATCTCAACTTTATCCAATTTAAGAGTCTTTTAGAAAACATTATCGGTACCGAAAATCCATATGAAATTGCAAAAGACTACACTTCTGACATGGTTAACTTGATCAGTATGCTCAAAACAACTCACTTGCTAATACACGACCAAAGAATGAAAAATAGACTCCACCGCCTAATCAAAAAACTGGAAGCAGGCAACCTATCATCTATCTCTCTACAAACTATCCTCACCAACGAACGCCCCTGGACTTCCCCAAACCAAAGCCCGATCCCTAGTAACGTGCAACCAACTACATACGATGTCCCTTCAAATCATCCAATGGAACCTTAATGGATTCTACAGCTACCTTGAGCATTTACAATTATTAACCAACGACCTTCAACCTGATATAATATGCCTACAAGAAACCAATTTTATCCACAGCCAAGAAGTAGTGATTGCTATAAATCTCGACGCCATTGTCGTTAAAGTCGAACTTTCTACGAGCCAATACATAGGTAGCATATACATACCAAACAGCCAACGCATAGACGAGGGAGACTTAATCCATTTAATTTTATTTTAATAGCCACAACATCCTGTGGGGATCCCATAAGACTAACGCACGAGGCTCTAGGATTGAGAGAATAATAAACTCAACCAACTTCAATCTTTTAAATACCAACAAACAAGCCCACTTTTGCATCGCAACTGGCAGTTCCAGTGCAATTGATCTGTCGATGTGCAATCCATCAATCACGCAAAATACTACATGGTGTGTTCTCAATGACATGTATGATAGTGATCACTTCCCTATAAAAATAACATACAACACTAACACAAGAAGTGGGCCCACCAGACCTCCAAAGTGGAGGAATGCTCCAAAGCTACTGCAAACTGCAGACACGCATTCAATAGATATATAAAACATGAAACACTTGAAAACCTCATTAATTTCAAAAAACTTAGAGCCATATCCCGTAAAATCATAAAGACTAGCAAAAGGCAAACGTGGAAAGAATACGTCTCATAATTTAATCCATACACCCCACTGCCTACAATTTGGAAGAGGATAAATGCGTTTAAAAAATCTCACGGCCAGTTCACGATCCCTGCCATAATCAAAGAAGATAACACAACCACTACTAACCTAAACGAAATTACTGAAGAGTTAGCAATAACATTTCAAAAAAATTCTAGCGACAATATTACACGAAAGAGTTCCGAATCAACAAACAAGAAACGGACATCAACTCATCACAACCCTCAGGAGCAGTGCAAGTCACAACAGATTTATCCGCTTGAAATGTTCCGCTACAATTTAACGAACTTCGATATATCCTGAATAAATACAAAAATATCAGCCCTGGTCCTGACGAAATCCCAAATTGTTTCCTAACTAATTTGCCTGATGTTGCTCTTGAATACCTGTTATCAATTTTTAACCATGTTGCACTTGAACACCTGATATCAATTTTGAACTGCATCTGGATACACAACATTTTTCCTTCCCGACAGAGGGAAGCTATAATCGTCCCTATTCTAAAATCCATATATACCCACTAGACACAAACAACTATCGGCCAATAGCTCTAACTAATACAATGTGCAAGTTAATGAAGAAAATCGTCAACTTAAGACCCAGGTTGTTCCTGGAAGTCAATTCACTAATCTCTAAACATCAAAACGGTTTTCGACAACTTCACTCAACCTACGATCATCTTATTAACTTAGAGACGATAATACTAGACGCCTTTGCCAACAAACGACATGCAATCGCTGTATGCCTTCATCTATATCAAGGCTTATGATATGGTCTGGAGAAATCGTATTTTAAAAATCCATCAAAATCAAGGGGTGGAGAAAAACATTTTTAATTTCATAAAAAACTTTCTGTCTATCAGAACAATTCGAGTAAGAGTCAACAACACTCTGTCCTCTACAAAAGTAGTCAAAAATGGAGTTCCCCAGAGTTCCGTCCTAAGTGTCACCTTATTCCTAATTGCCATCAATGACATCCTGAAGCACATATTAAGTCCAGCCTTAGGTCTACTATTTGCAGATGATCTTACGATAATATGCAGAGGGAGAAACCCCCTAACTTCTCAAGTACTATTCCAGGAGATATTAGACAAGCTTCAGAAATGGTGCCTTATTTCAAGATTCAAACTCTCTAAGTACTTCTAAATCGAAAATAATTGTCTTTAATAGAATGTAACGCCTAATAAAAATCCAACTAACACTCAACAACCAAACTCTCCCTGAAACATCTTCTATGAAATTACTAGGCTTAACCTTCGACTCACGACTGATATGGGACCACCATATTGCCAAACTGAAAGCCGATTGTTTTCAACGCCTAAATATATTCAAAACAATAGCAGCAAACAACTGGGGAGCTGACCTAAGCATCCTATTGTTAACATACAAAGCAATAGTCAGATCGAAATTAGATTATGGATCAATTATCTACAACTCCGCAAATACTAGTGTACTGGAAAAAATTAGATGTCATCCACAATAACACATTAAGAATAGCAACTGGTGCCTTTCAAACTAGCCCAATTAATGACATCCTCAGTAAAGCAACAGAACCGCCGCTACACGTTAGAAGAAAACTACTAAGCATCGAATTTGCAACCAAAATCGCCTCTATTCCATAAAACCCTGTTCACCAAGCAATCTTCAAACAAAATCAACCCTTACAACAAAGGAACAAATTCCACTTTCCCTTCTATCAAAGATTAAGAAACCTCTTGAAAGAAGTAAATCAAGATTTTCTGAAGACAATATTCCAAGAGCTTAAAAATTCCTACTCAAATCATTCAAAAACCATTCAGAAATCATTCAAAAAATTTTGAACCGATGGTTCAAAAATTGCAAATGGTTCCGGGTACGCCATAATTAACGAACAAGTAGTAATAAGTAACAAACTCCATCCATATTCAACCATACTTGACTGCGAAATCATCGCATTAAGTCGGTGCCTTCTGCGATTCTCTAACCGCCATCTTCACAATCCAAAATCAATGGACAAACGACACCCTCATACAAAAATGCCAACTAGCTTATATTCAATCAACGCAAAGAAACAATAAAATTACAATAATCTGGATTCCTTCCCATGTAGGTATCGCGGGAAATGATACAGTGGATAAACTAGCCAAAGAAGCAGCGAACTCTTCAGTTTCTGATCATTATACAAATCACCCGTCTCCTGAAGTATCCTTCCTCAATGCTAAACAGAAATTAGAAAAGAACAGGGACAACACATGGATTATGCAATCTAAACCCAGACTGACAACAATAGAAAGTAAGTTTTACAAGAAAATTATTACCAGCTGCTTGCAAAGACGTGACCAAGTTGTCATCACAAGAATTATAATTGGTCACACAAGAATCACACACCAGTACCTCCTCACTAAAAAACAACCCCCAATCTGCGACCTATGTCAGGTCAACGTAACGGTAGACCACCTTATCATCCAATACGCAAAGTATGCTGCCGACAGACACAAATACAACCGAAGAACAATAAAACAACACAGAACCTACTCAACTTTTTGAAGGACACCAGACTATATAACAAACTGAAAACTGAATCATTAAGTCGCTAATAACCTAAACACTGGTTGATGCAACTATAAACACTAACATAAAAAAAAAGTTGGTTAATAACTTTAGTTGTCTTAATTGTCTTCGTTACTTTTAAAGACCTAAAAATAATTCATTCATAAAATTTATCATATAAAATTACTTTTATTTAATCAAGACGAATTATGATTTCTTTAAAATGGCTTTCTCTCTGGCATGAGTGAGCTATACCTATCCATGTGCGCGCAAACGTGTTAAGTAGATTGTATCGAATCTTTAATATTCATTGAGGATCGCGCGGACGTGACAGAAACGTTACAATTTCAATTGAAATTAAAACCGCATTGGATTACGCAGCAGTGAAAGTACATTTATTGTAAACCAAAAAATGTATTGCCTGAATTGATTTTGTTTTTCTTAATTTCATAATACTTTACATTATATTCACGGCGATTTCAAATCCACTAAGTCCTTATTATTTAAATCACTTATTTAATTAAAAAATTCTTTTATACCCTTAAATTGTACATTCTTAGTTTAAAAGGAAAAACTGGTTATTAAGATATGATGAGGTTATGAGATATGTAATAATATCAACGAACTTGTTTTTTGTACTATGTAATATAATAAAAGAACAAGATAGTAATATTTAGCGTTAGTTAGTTGCATTTCAAAATTTGACAAGTTTTCATAAATGTAAAATTAACATACATGAAAAGTTAAATTTACTACATTACGATTTTTTTATTGATTTCTTTCCATGTTCAGAATCGTATTATTATTTTCTTGTATTAATTATGATTAGAAAATCTTTTACGTCTAATAATTTTTTCTTTTAAATGCTTTTTAAGTAAAAATTCAGTGTTATTAACTAAAGTAACTTCGTAATAAATTACTTATGAGCTTATGTTTATATTCTTTTCGTTTTTATACAATATAAATGTTTCATAAAAATGTAGGGCACTTCATGTACGATATAGTGTGCTTACTTAAGTCTAATATCTGAATCACTGGGTTGATGTAAAAATAATTGCAATTTTTATGTGTAGTTTTATTAATTAGGATAAGAACCGTCATTATCTACTTACTTTGCTTGTGGCGGTTTTACTCCTACGCTGATTGCTACTAGACAGCGCATAAGACCAAGACTTGACTCCCTCGCTGGTACTCAAAATAAGGCGAACGTAGTAATAATAATTAATCGTAGTAATCTTTCGTTGATACGTTCGCGTTATGAAAATAGCCAAAATCGCAATCAATTTTGTATTAACCTACTATTTTTGCTATTAAAAATAAGACATATCGATAAGAATGTAGTTTTAGAGGAAACATCTAGCCACAAAGAAATCTCCATGTGGTTATTACGAGCATCATTCATCGTTTATCGTGCGCGTGCATAAATGCATTACCACTAACAGTCAGAATTTTGAATGTCCAATAAAATAAAATAATTTATTATTTTTAAATTGTCATTTTTTATGCAATGTCATTTCAAGAATAAGATGTCATAATCTCGGCAGTCAACTATGTACTATTTTAATCAGTCAACTTTTACTGTAAAACTAATGTTTCATTATAAAATAACTTTCATTAATATATAAATTTCATATTATCATTTACAAGGATTTTGAGGTTACATAATGCCATCGGTTTCATTTTCCAACAAGGAACACTATTATTGTATTTTGTTTTCATTATTAACCACAAAGGGAACAGATTTCAGAGAAAGATTTAGACATAAAAAATAAAATTAGTGTAAAAAGGCTGCAAGATCTTTTTGTATTATTCGGGTTTTTAATTGTTTAATGTAGACTCAGTCTATATTGCCTTGAATATGGAGTCCCTAGAATAATTACAATATACATATAAAAGATACATATCTTTCTGTACTAGCAGCTTAATGTTCGGCTAATCACTGTGGAATACTGAAATAAACGAATTACCACAACTGACAAGCAAATACAAATACATGTATATTATATTATTATTATAAAATTTGGAAGGAAAAATATTTTAATTGTAACAATTTGTATTATGGATAATTTATAAGATAATTTAACCGCAGAGGTACGTAAATGCAATTTTAAAGGTGTCCGTTTCATGTGAACTAATAAATATAGTTTTGGAATCGAAACTTTTCCTACATTAATGAAAGTATCACGTACACACGTTGAGCATCGATTCACGTTGGACGAATAACAATCGAGTACCTATAAATACGGTTGTCAGTGCAAATTGAAGTCAGTACTGTTCTAAACTTTCCTTCAATCGTATCGTTACTTCAAATCCGATCAACATGGTTATTAAGGTGAGAAGAGGTTTATTTGACGAATTTGCTTAATAAACGTTTTAAAAGTTATTAATTTTTGTTAGTAAATTAATCAACTTTTGAAATGTATGGTAAAATATTACTGTGGGAAAACACGCAGCATGCTTTATTGAACAAAAGTATGCAGTCTTTAAGCAATATTGTAACAATTTTTGAAAAAAATTAGTTTTGTATGATTCTAAAAATTAAATATATTAATAAAAGTTATTGCATTAGCAGTTATATGTTATTTGTTAAAATTATAATGACATTTAAGATATTGTCATATTTTGTTTTCCTGCGACTATTTGCTGCAGTAATTGCTGAGAGTGTTGTTTAGATAACGAATAGTATGAATCAATTATCTTTCGAAACAATTGAGTTAATTTTACTAATCATAGTTTCTGCCGTTTTTTCTATGTATATACATATATTTTACACAATTTTGAGATAAACTTTGAAATATAGTAAGTTTACAATAAGTTACTATTAATGTTAGTAGTAATATTTCAATAGTCTCTGAGGATATACTTCCGAATGACCTCCATGGAATGCAGTACTAAAATTTTGTTTGCATGTACAACTACCCATGAGCATTCCATATCCGTTGTCAAAATCCATGGTTCTCTTATGGTTCGATAGATATTCGTATTTGAATGCTTGAATTGCTTATATGACTGTTCATTGAAACACTAATGCAAGAGTGAAATACACGTATCAAAACCTGACCTAACATAACCTAACCTTTGTCTATCTTATGTTTTTTTGGTTAGAAGAGAGAAGGATAATAGATATGTATTTTTCAAAAATGTGGAAAACACGATTTCTAAACGCAAATGGTATTTTGTTAAAAAGTAATATTTCGCCATGATTTCTTTTGCATTTTACTCTCAGAACTCTAGTTTAGTGCGCTAAAAATCTTGATTTTGCAATTATGTAAACAAAAAATCTATGAGTTGGAAATTAAAGTTTCTTATAGAAGAAAATTTTTCTCGTTCCATTTTTCCAAAATCAAGATCTTTAATGCACTAGATTTCTGAGGTGGGCAGAACTTCTACAAGTCACCGCATGAGAGCATTACACTTACACCTACGGACACTCATTCAGGAAACTGGCCCCAGGTCATATTTTTTGTTACGAGACTTTACTCTTTATTATATTTCTATCGAATTGAGATAGTAATGCCGCTACAAGTAAACTCTTTACAAACTTCAAAAGAATGCAGAAAAGGCGCATAAAAAGCGCTCAACGTGTTAACACTGGGATAAACTTGAAATGTCGCGAATATCTTGCGAACCATAAGATATCCGTTGATTTCGAGAACGGACACGCTCACAGAAAACAACATATGCAAAAAAATTTCAGCAATGAAGGGGTCCATTCGATGGGGCCCATTCGGAAGTACAGCCGACTCTGATAACATGAATAATTAGAAATGTACAGCGTGTCTCACAATCATTGTAGTTCCCTGAAATGGGGAGTAAGTGACGTGATTTAGAATAAGATTTCCCTTTGCAAAAATGGGGCTTGAAGCTTTGTTTTTGAATTATTACGGAAAAACATGGACCAATTAGAGCGCGAGGATTACGTGTGCATAGACACGAGAGCGACAGCTTCAAGTCTAGTGGCTGAACGCGTATAATCTTCACGCTCTGATTGGTCCGTGTTTTTCCGTAATAATTCAAAACCGAAGCTTCAAACCCTATTTTTGCAAAGGGAAATCTTATTCAGAATAACGTTAGCTACCTCCCGTTTCTGGGACCTACACTAGTTGTGAGATACCTTGTATAATGGGTTATGTATCTGTGGCTTAATATCATTTTTTATGTACAGTGGCACAGAGAAATGTTCACGAAAAGAAATGAAATTTGTTTAACATAATTCTGTTCGTATTTTAATATATTTTTTTATGAAGTGTAATGGATTAAAGTTTTTGATTTTTGAAATGGCATAAGCGTAAATCAAATGAAATTATTTTGATTCATGTAAGTAAAAAACATTTCTGTATGGTACAAACATCGTCGCACAAAAATCTGGGTACATTTAGTTCATGTTCGAAACTGTGGTTGCAGATGCAGGATCATTAGAATAAAACGGACTAAAAACATTTTTACATCCACCAAATGCATCCTTGTATGGTCTTAGTCAGTCGTATTAAAACATTATCAGTCCTATCTGTTACAATTTTCTGTATCTAAAAAAATCTGAATAATTCTCTGACGTCTTAAAGATCGTTGCCCCTGCAGAATATTATACTGATTTTTATACATCGGATTTTGTACTTTTGAGATCTACGATTGTTCATTCATCGATATCATAAACCAGTTTAGGATTTTCTATTACTGTCAATTGTAAATAGTCCCATTGTTCTAAATTTGTATACTTTTGTTAAAAAAAAATGTTCCACATTTGCGAAAATGAACGTTAACAACTTGATGGTACAGTGTAGTATGTAAGTTGTTCTATACAGTACAACTTAAGTTATGTGTTTCTTTTACACATGTATGTATAATACTTATTAGATTATAATAACAATCAGATAACATTCGAAAGGCTGATTGTCAAAAGTTTTCACAGCAGCTGTTGAAACTTCTATATTAAAGTATAAATGGATATGTGGTGTAAAAGGGTTCGACCATTTAACTAAAAAATTGCATGCGACTGTGAATTTATTTCTCAGTTATTTAAAACGCCATTTTCGTTCTACATTTTTCAGAACAAATAAAAGTATATATGACATATATATACTAGCGAGAGATAGTTGGATAGTATGTATAATAGATACATGGATTTGTGTAATTATTTCATTCAACAATTCTATTTTCAAAATTATAACCTTTCGAAACTATAATTATACATACATGTATGTGCATATAGATGTATGAAACATTTGTGTAGGGACTACACATCAGGCTTCCGATCGGTTCAACTTTTCAACCAGCACACAAATTTCTTCGAATTTCCACAAAACTTCACGTGCGTAGATTGTAGTCTGCTTACAATGTCTAAAACGTCAATAAATACGATTTCTCATATAACAATTATGCAATACAAACTTTTTCCCAAAGGTTTCCAATACAAATGCATATTAGAATAAACATGTGTAGGTCTAATCTCGACACATTATGTATTGTGCTTCAGTCAAAATCTTGCAGCATTAGCATCAGTAGCACTCCAGCTATCATCAACAATTGAAATGATGTTGCATAATATTTTTAAATATTTAAGCCTCAATATTGTGTGATTAGTAAAGTTATAACGACAGAAGACAAGAGTCTAGCAAAAATCAGATGGTCCATTAGACCATTCTAAGCACAAATAATTATATTATTTGTTTAGTGGAATACAAAGTTAATTAGTCGTTCGAAGAAATGTACTAAAATGATTGATTATACTGACAAAATAAAAATTATTCTTTAATTTTTTGTCATTTCAATATCTTTAGACCAGAAATATTTAAATCATAACTGATCATGTATATTTTTCTTGAGAAATTGTACCGACTGAAGTTCTTGGTGTATAATATATACATATATGTATTGTCTACGTACAAATATACTGGTGAAGAGGGTATGCTTATTTAGGGAAGATGACAATATGCGATAACTACTCGTGGGTAAAATTTAAAAACTTATAAATTTTTGGGTGTTGAAATTTTCAAATATAGATATTTGATTGCCCGATATATTACGTGAAGTAATTCGCTGGAAGGGTTATCATACAAAATATTGATTGATAAAGTTCCTGTTAAAATAATTGTAACAATAATTAAGTGTACGAATACTTCTGTTCTCCACTGTACATTTATAAATTCGTCTGTACATGTAGATACAACTGACATTATTGAGTATTTAATGATTTATGAATGGTATTTTGTTCATTCTGATAATAAATATTACCTATGTATGCAAGAAATACGTGCGTTTTTTGTACGTTTTGGTCTATTTTGATATTCAATATAATATCGTATTCTATTTGTATATTTGCATGACATACGAATAACAGTGAAACAATGTCTAGAAAAATATGATATCTTAAAACTTATATTTAAATTTATTTCAAGTTCTTTATTAGGATATCCTGGTGTAATCCTAGATATTGAATGAAATTTCGTTTGAATAACTGGGACGAATAATAGAGGCATAGTCAGTCGGAGCAAGGGAGACAATTTATTTTCCAATAAAAAGATGTATTCAAAGAAAATGCAGGAATTATTAAATAAATAAATTGCTTGGTAATAAGGCAAGAGCTAATCGAAAAATTAGGTTTGAACGTTCGTATTGTTTTTGTAGCTACACATGAATTTTTAAAAATATGAGAAATTTGCAAAATTTACGAATTTGGAAATATCAGAGTTTGGAAATTTTCAAGTTCGTATATCTGATTCTCCAAAAGAGAAGGCAAATGGTGGGAAGGATTTTCCTGTGACGTTGGTCTTAGCCAAGCAAAGCTTACTTTATAACACTACATAATGTGCACACTAAATATTTATTAAAATTATTTATTAGAAATTCTATATAAAGAAACAAGTCAAATTATAAGTTTCAGTATTCATTTATTTAAAATTACTTTAGTATTTTAAATGTAATTGTCACTTTATATTCATCACGCAGGTTCAAAAGAAATGTTATTATACTGTCATTATTATAATTGCTGTTATTTCCTATTTTTACAGAAAGTAGTTGTCATACTAGCAATAGGAGTATTCGTGACGTGCAAGGGAGCTGCAGTTCCTGTTCCAGCATTTCCACCTGTTGCCAAGCTTGCACCTCTAAATTCAAGACTTAACTACGATCCTCATCCACAATATACTTATGCTTACGATGTACAAGATAGTTTAACAGGAGACTCAAAAACTCAGCACGAAAGCAGAAATGGCGACATCGTCAGCGGAAGTTACAGTTTTATTGAAGCTGATGGAACCAGAAGAATCGTTGAATACACGGCTGATCCTGTCAATGGATTCAACGCAGTTGTACACAGAGAGCCAGTAGCTGTGATTAAACCAGCCCTTAAGGTCGCTCCAGTAGCTTTTCCTTAAGACAAGTTGCTAATTTTATTTATTCTTGCTCTTATGATGTGTAAACTTCGTTATCTTTGTTACATTAGTTTTAATTAATTTTTTTGGTTCGACTCAGATGCATAACTGGTTGCGAAGTTTAATTATAAACATCCTACCTTTTGAATGTAAATAATATGAATAAGTACTATTGCTCTATAATATAGTAGTAACTAAAATAGAAAGAATTAGTCCAAATACACCATTTCGATTATTAAAGTTTAGACTCATCAAAGAATTATTAATAGATTTTCGCTCAGCAATCAGTATCATCAAAAGGTTTATCAATAGACATGTCGATAAGGTATTAGATTAGTAATATGTAGCACACAGTAAACGATTATTGATATTTTATGTTTGAGAATAGTGCTATTTTGGAGGTTATAACAATAGCTTCCAAATAAAATTCTGAAATATCCTTTTAAATAAACTGTTACGTAGCAAAACAGGATCTGACGATGATACAAAATTATAATAAATAATAGAGTAGACGATTTTCTTAAATTTTAAAGCAATTTACAATAAGAAAATATGAAATAGAAAACATGTTTTTCTGTTACATCACGTGTTATACGCCTAGTCATATTGCACTGTACATACTCCAATCACTTTGTAATACAAACTTTACATCAAAACCTTTTGCGCAGTATTTTTATACATTTGATTCGTACCTTCCTTCAACTAAAATATAAAACAAAATACCTTTTTCGGCGTAACCAAACAGTATCGTCATTACTGAAAAAAACGAAACAGAAGATATTTTTTGTTCATTCATTCAACAAATATTTCTTAAAATCCAAGAAAAATCAATCTGCCAGGAGATTCATATCTTCATTAAGTTTTAATAGTAAATTCAATAATGAATACTAAATTTCAAATACTTAAAAATAATTTATGTAATAATCAGTCTCTTGATTTTATTGACAAGGGACATCACCAAGGTGTTACACGCCGATTTTAATGAAATTGACATATGTGGTAGCTTTTTAAAAATCATTTGACACGTATTTTTTTTATATCTGCGGACATCCATGTTAAGGGGGTCAAAATAGCCCTCAAAGTTCGGGGTTGAAAACACATTTTCTTTAATATCTCGGAAACTGGAGGGTGTAGGAAGGTGAATTTTTTTTTAAATTGTGTAGTTTTTAGTCAGGAATTTAGTTAGTGTCAAAAATTTCGGGAGAAATTATTTATTTAAATAATATATTTAAAAAATGCACTTTTTTTCAATTTTTCACCCTAAATGCAGTTCGATTTTTTTGCAGCTTTGTATACTAAAAATATGGATCAAAATAGGGGATACGTGTTTTTGGAATTTTTTATTTATTGCAATTTAGCAATAATTATTATATATACAATTTTCTCCTACTTTTTACGAAGAAATAATTTGAGATTTGTTTTCGAGAGTCAGCCCTTTGTATGCGATGATCTGTTACGTTTTTAACAATTAGACAATATCAGATGTTTATTGTGCCATCGGTAGCCAGGAAAGGTCTAACGGGCAGGTTTAAATCCGTCGCGGTACCAGTTGTCGCTTTACGGAACATAGGTTTCTATGGCCAATGAAACTCTTTACTAAAATTATTCCAAAATATACTGTTGCAGGAAAGCGGGTATAAATAAGTATATGGTAATTGTATTATTGTTTCCCTTTTTGAACATTTGTAAAATTTATTTTTTATAAGTATGGATTTTAATCCCATTAATGTTATAAACATTTTAATGCAAATATTTAACTCTAATAAGCAGGAAGCACATATAAATCGAAACAAAGTTAAACTGGCACAAAGCATAACAGATGCAATCGACGTGTATAAAGAATGCGCATATACGGATATAGAAATGTAACAAGAGGTTATATTTAATGACTTGACGTATGCCTAAATCTTGCCTATTTTTGCGAATTAAGAGGAAATGGAACAACCTTTTATTTAAAAACCCGCCAATATTTTTTTGATCCGTGTGAACCAGAAAATACTGTTTTGCTTCTTGATTCATGGAAAAGATATAGCGAGAAGAAGTTATGACGATCAATCCCTAGGTAAGAAACAGTGTAAAATACAGGAAATATTAAAAATAGCAAAAAATAGCCTACCGTTTGTTCAACCATTTAATGTTAATAGGTTTCGAAGTTGAAATTAATTTCCATACTTATAAAAAATGAATTTTACAAATGTTCAAAAAGAGAAACAATAATATAATTACCATATAATTATATATACCCACTTTCCTGCAACAGAAAGAAACAAAAGCAGCGCATTGTTCAAATCTTTAGCTCTTTTCAGGACTACCAAAATCAGCTCTTTTCAGAGTTACCAAATCATTTAAACGAGGAACATTTCGGTTCAAATTATTAAAAGTCAAGTAAATAAACTTATACCTTCGGCTAAAAGTTTCATAGACCATGGAAACCTATGTTCCGTATAGCGACGACTGATACCGCGGCGGATTTATACCTGCCCGCTGGACCTTCCCTGGCTACCAATGGAATAATAAACATCTAATATTGTCTAATTGTTAAATACGTGACAAATTATGACATAACAAATCTCAGCTCATTTCTCCGTAAAAAGTAGGAGAAAATTGTATATGTAATAATTATTGCTAAATTGCAATAAACAAAAAATTCCAAAAACACGTATTCCCTATTTTCATCCACATTTTTCGTTCATTTATAAATATGCAAAAAAATCGAACTGCATTTAGGGTAAAAAATTGGTATAAAAATCCAATTTCTTAATATATTATTTAAATAAATATTTTCTTTCACAATTTTCGTCATTAACTAAATTCCTGACTAAAAACTACACAATTTAAAAAAAATTCACCTTCCTATACCCTCTAGTTTCCGAGATATTAAAGAAAATATGTTTTCAACCCCAAACTTTGAGGGCTATTTTCACCCCCTCAACATGCATGTCAGCAGATATAAAAAAATACGTGTCAAATGATTTTTGAAAAGCTACCACATATGTAAATTTCGTTAAAATCCGCGTGTAACACCTTGGTGATGTCCCTTGTAAGTACATTGGCGAAATTACATGTCAGTTGCGCATAATATAAAAATATTATTGATTGTACCGTACGAGGTGATACATTAAATGTATAAAACACTGATAGTAATTTTGGGACCAAAAATTAATAATTCCTAAGATATTATTTCTTAGATACAGTAAATTATTTACAATATAAGTGCTATAAGGATTTTATTTATGAAATTTATCATTATTCCTTGAAGAGTATAACAGTAAGTATTAATATTTGGATTCATTTGACCTCATAATTTTCTACTCAACGTTCAACAGATTCTTTAATTATATGTATTCCTCTGAATATTACGTAACTTTTATTTAAAACATTTTTTCATATAAGAAATTGACACAAAATTTAAATAACACATTATCAAAAAATTATTTCTTTGAATAAAACGTCAAGGTTATTGTGTTGATGCGCGCATGTTCATCAACACTGCGTCGTAATTAAAAAATGTTTGTACTTTATAAGCGACGGTGAATGTAACAGAAACACGAGTTTGTTCAAAAGAAATTATTGTTAAAAACAATAGTTTATAACTAATCATATCCGAATGTTAATATGACAATGGATAACCCAATGAGGTAGCCCTGTAGGAAATACTGGTTTTTGTCCTATCATCGAAGTCAAGCTACAGTGTCCGCGTTGTAAGGAAGGATATAGGTGATCGCTCGTTTCTTCGAACGGTCGTTCGGACTTCTAAGCGGCGCGACCTGTTAGGTTCATACCACAGCTCTCTAAACTCTATTGAGGGATTCCTAATTCAATAAAATAAAATGAGAACTAAGATTAAAATTCCTTACGCACCAATAAAGTCAAGGGGTGACGTCTTCTCCTCACTAGCTGATCATGTCCCATCACTTCGGACGGGATTCCGACGCTTCGAAATATTGAAAGATGTGTCCTTAACAATAAAAGTGCGTCAGATGAAGATAACGCTATGATATATTTTCACCAGTCGTTCTCGTCTGCACTTCCGCGACAAGTCGGAAATTTAATGGAGCATACTAATTGCTTTTCGTTCCTAGTATTAATTTACCAATCAGCATTCCTCTTAGTGCGCCTTTATTGGAAGAGGTTGGGAAAGATACTAATGATTACGTTAGGATTTCGAAGTTCAGCAATGCCGGGGTTTTTTCTTCTAAACGACACGAACGTTGTCCAAAAAATACTACTATACATAAGGACCGAAAACTGTTCTCGGTACCCTGCGGAAAAAATCCCATTTATGATGGACGTGGCTTTTGATGACGAAAATGAAAATTAGAAATTCTAAATACTTTGTTACAAAAAAGAGGTGAAACTATATTGTCGACGATGACGAAATTCTGTCCTTCAAAAATAACCGTTCGTCCCGGATCCAGCATGAACTACCTACGAAATCCCCGTGTATTGTGTTTCGTCACCCGTTAAGATCATTTATATGGATTTTTCTTAAAGGCCCAATGTATTTTTCATTTTACGCTATTATAATTAATATTATAATAACTCTAAATTGTAATATACAGGGTGTATGAAAAAGGTCGAAACCCTTGAATATTTCGAAAAATATAAGTTTTATCAAAAAATGTTTCAGATAAAAGTTGTAGGGTTTGAAAAGTTCTATTTACTAGCAATATCATTTTGACTTTGAAGAGTCACTGGAAGGTCACGTGAAGGTCACTTCAATTTTTTTAAATGGAATACCCTATATATTTTTGCATATTCTTGTAGCTTACCTTGAGAGCTTTCTAACACACTATGATAAAGTATTTTTTGATTGAAAACTTTTTGAGTTATTAAGGTTTGAAATTTCCAATAATTTTGACAAATTACAAAATATCTTACAAAATATTCATTTTTCAATAATCTTACCCTAATACTTTTATGCACAGAATAATGAGATAAATTGACTGGCGTAAAGAAAATACATTGTTTAAAAAAAAAATAAGTAAATAAATTTTCAAACCATTTTTTTTAAACAATTGTGTATTTTCTTTATTGGTATTGGCCATAAAAGTCTATGTTCCTTACGGCGGTGTTTATAACCGCGTCATGCTCATACCTGCGACGCTTACAAAAATTGTTCAGAAATCAATTAACGGCATATGAAGAGGTATAAAA